ATGTTGTACTCGAAAAGATCATTCTCATTAAATAGAAGATAAAAAAAATTAGTTGTTAAATTTAAGCAAATTATTTTATCTTCCACTTTATATATGCATCTGAATCAAGTTTTCGAAATATTTTTAGTTGCATTATTTTATTTTCTGAATAAAATAGGATGATAGGAAAAATGCTTAAGGATGCAGATTGTTGAGTCTCTATATAGATTGCGAAACAGTTACTATTAAATTGATCGTAAGTTCCAGATATATTCTCAAAGGCTGTTACGATACAAAAAACAGATTTTATGTTAAATTTTTTTGGCTTTTCTGAAAAGATTTGATAACTTTATATACAGAATGCTTACGAAGTCTTAGTTAAGTCAAATTTATATGTGACTGAATTAAAAACAAAAAACAAAAAAACAACAACTTGTATTTAAGATATTAACTATGTTGTTACGTTGATCGGGGTTCAACGATTTTAAGCAAATCAGTCTCAATGAACAAGGCAGTTCTTCAGGGGCGATAGAAATTTATTGTCGAAAAACAATCCTTGAAATACAAGATGCAGTACTCAAATTCGCTGAACAAATTTCAGAAGGTCTTCACACCTTCAACAGCGCTCAGACACAACTATCAGTGCCCAAAATTCAAGCACGAATATGTGAAAGATTATTCACAAGCTTCGCTCGTCCTACTATACAGCCGAGTTAATCGCTAGTAGACTCTTCATGGTCAAAAGAATATGTTAGCATGTACAATCATGCGAACGGTTTTATTTTATGAAATTTCTAGTATTTTAACATTACTGTTAGCAGCATATTCCACACAGGATAGGCGTAACTCATGATGGGCCGCGAGACGGCTGTGTAGAGAAGTACTATATTTTCTACGGACATTGAAGAATTCCAGCAAATTAGTGGGTAAATTAATCTTAGAGCACTCCGGAATTCATTTCGCGCATGTATTATGTGTTGTTTCCATGTGAGCTTATTATCAAGTAAGAGTCCTAGATATTTTATGTTTTGAGACCATTGGAGTGGTGTGGAGTATAGCGTTGGTGGTGGTGTTGCAGGTTTTCTTTTCCTTGTGAATAGTACTGCAACCGTTTTGTCGACGTTAAGCTTAATTTTCCATGTATTGAAGTAATTTCTTAGTAGAGTTAAGTGATTGTTAAGAGCTTTTGTGATCGTGTTAACTGAATTTCGACGAGCGTCTCTCTATTTATAGTTCTCGCGGATCCAAAGTCACCAAAATGGTTGCCAAAAACGATGCCAACTTGGCTCCATCGCCAAGATTTCACCAAGTTTCCATTGAATCGCCATTATAATGTAAGGAACGGGGTTGTTTGCGAATATTACAATTTTAACATAAAGTAAATACCACAGAGTAATCTTACAATATTATACATCAAAATATAAATTAATTACACTATTTTAAGTAGTCTTTACACAAAATTAAATATAATATTGAGAATTTATTTTTAAAAAATTAATTTACATCAATTTTCTCACCTTTTAAAATATAATTTTTGTCAATAAAATGCTTATTTTCTCCATTTCCTTATCATAAAGGCAAGGCAAACATGTAGTTATTGATAGCTACCCAAATCCTTGGAAGTTGTGTAATGGATAAATTTGTACGATTGCCTTATTCGAAGTTTATACTTGTATATAGGAATGATTGATATATATATGTAAAGTGTGTTAGGGGACACATTTTTTACGTCTTTTTTAGGTAAACTAACTCAGGAATGTTTAAGCAGAGTTTTATGAAAATCAAAATCTCATTCGTTTGAGTAAATAAAATAATACCAATTGTATCTCATTGCAATGAAAACTGTGAAGGTTATTTACGGTGTACTTTCTTTTGCAATTACTTAAGTTAGGAAAGACTTAAATTAAAGACCTCAACACTAAAATATATAATTGAAATTAGGGCCCGACAATGACATCAATTATGAGTACAAAAGCCGTTGAATTTTTCTTTATTTTGTTTTTTGTTTTTTTAATCCTTACTGATTCTTATTTCTTACTCTTTTTCTTTCTTTTCCTTTTTTAAAAAGTAGGAATCGCATAGTGCATCGGTCCTTAAACTGTGGTCCGCGGACCCCTTGGAGTCTTCAGCGTATTAGGGGGTCAGCGAAGTCTCTCATGTAACGTTAAGATTTCCCTCTGAAAGGCCTTGCGGAAAATTTGAAAAAAGTGCTATCCTAAATTAGATCACTAGGATAGCACATGTATTTTTTTGACCTAGAATATTAATTCAGGGAGGGGTGTTCAAAATCTTGGGG